AATATTCAGATAACTGTTCAAATATTTCATAGGCATTTCAGCAGAACAATCGCTTTTGAATATGAGTTTCATTCTTGGATCTACCTGTCTCAAGAGGTCTAATTCTAATTCATTCCCATTCTGCTTTGTCTTACTAGGAAACATCTGCTATCCAGGATTTCTCCCACAAGGCTCTCAAAGAGCCTTGATAGTACAGTGGTCTACGCACCCTGTTATTAACACAGCTGCCTGCAATTTACTGCTGGTTCGAATCTCTCCAAGGCTCAAGGTTGACTCAGCCTTCCATCCTTTCTAAGGTAGGTGAAATGAGGACCCAGTTTGTGGGGCAATAAGCTGACTTTGTATAAATATACAGAAGTATGAAGGCTATTGCTTAACGTGTTGTAAGCCGCCCTGAGTCTCCGGAGAAGGGCGGCATATAAATCAAATAAAAAAATAAAAAAAATTCTGTGAAAAATATCACTCTGCCCAGGTATATTTCTTGTATCTCAACCTTCTGTAGTCACAGCATACTCAGTAGGCTGAACTGTTTCCATTTTTATCACAATATATATTTATATTATCCTTCATATTTCCCATATTTCCCTTTAATAAGTAACATAGGATAAAATCTTCAGATACAAAAAGGTCACCAACTCCCAGGTTAATCTGAAGAAATGATGCAATGAAATGGTTCTGGAATTCATCTTGGAAAAAAGGTGTCCCATCCCATCTCCTGGGAATGCACTTTGACCCTCTTCACTGTTTCCTGTTTCCTTTTTTCCTCTTTGTTTTTAGGGGCCACAAGGGAGAGAGAGAGACAGAAGCTATGACTGCCAAGGGAATCCACCTACTCTGGATGCTCCTTTCAGTTGCTTGGATAGTCTTGGAGACAGAAGCTGACAGTTTTGAAGTCTTCCAATGGAAGCATGTAGATTATCCAGTGACAATTTCTGCAGATTATTGTAAAAATATAATGACATCCAGGGGCCATTATGAAGCTAATATATTTATCCATCTCTCAGTTGCTGATTTAAAACGTATTTGCCCTAACAGATATACTGGGAAACATGTTTCAGAAAATCCTGTTCAATATACTTATTGTTCAAAGATTTTTGATCGTTTTTCTGGTGTTCGTAATACTCGCAAGATGGTTATTCGTTGTCGGAATGGATTGCCCATTGACATTGATTCACTTTTTTCTGGTCAGAACCAGAACCAGTTGATTTGATCAAGATCCTTTTTGTGGCAATGTTCTGCCATAGAGAGAGAGAGGTTGACTGGAAATTGTGGGTTGCTCTAATGTTGCCTTAAAGCCAACCCTGTTTTTATAAGAGTCACATTTCCCTTCCATTCTTTTGGGTTTCACTCTGTCTTCTTTGTTCCTGGCTGTTCTTTTATGATTAATGCAGTTCCAATCACCCCACTTCTAGAGGAACATCTGTCAGCCCTAATGGGTAGGCCTGGCCAGGAAATGAACCCCACAGGAAGGCTGAAGCTACTTGAATAAAATTAGTAACTTTACAACTCTGATTGTGCTGCATCTTATTCCTTGACATTGTAGTTTGTGGAATTTGAACATGTTCTTTATTATCTAGTTTATGTAGTGTGATTGATCCTTTATTGCTTGGGTGATGGATATAGCAATCAATACAATAAATCTTTTTTTTAGCATCCTATTATATTTTGTTTAGACTTTCATTCAGAGAAATCCTGGACCTGATCATACAGGTGATAGCTGGGAGATGGGGGAAGAAAAGTGGCCAAGAATTTTTATCTCAGTGAATCAGAAAAAAACAGTTACATTAGTTTTCTTCCTGAAACTAAATATTTCTATCATAGGATTGTTTTCCTTCTTGTTACGAATGTATATATATTTTGCCCAACTACAATATTCTGAAGTGCTCTCTAAAACTTGAGTTAGCAGCTGTGGTATAAATCCAAATGGAGCATCCCTCCCATGGAAACTTTCTTTCCTTCCCACATTTGGCCCTTGCTTTTCTGTCATTGGGGATATTGTCATTTTTTAAAAAAAAACCACAGAACTTCTGGCCTCTTCTGTGTTTATCCTGCTACTTTAGATGGAAAAAGATTATTAAAAAATAAATTAAAGAAGGAAAACCCTAAAAATTAAGGTCATGATGTCATTATGTAAATTTAAATATTCCTCAGTTAAGACATATATTGATTTCAGGATGTCATAATGCTCTCTTATTATTATTATTTTAAGTCCAATTCAATGAAACAATTCTTTCTAATCATTTTGAAGAAATCCCAACTTCTTTCTGAATATACCACAATAGGATGATTAGTGTTGGTGTTAGAAAGTTTTAAATTACTTAAGGGCTCAGACTGATTTGATTTAAAACCTTGAAGTTAATTGAAAGGATCCATCCCTATGGTAAATTATGTTTTTCTATGTGAAAACAATTGATGACTTTGAAGGTTTCTCAGAAAATTACAAAAGAAGAATAAGTTCCATTAAATAGACCTGTAATTAATTTGAAGGGGCATTCAAATCAATCAGAATAGAGCTGGAAGGGACCTTGGAGGTCTTCTAGTCCAACCCCCTGCTCAAGCAGGAGATACTATACCATTTCAGATAGGTGGCTGCCCGGTCTTTTCTTAAAGACATCCAGCGATTGAGCACCCACGATTTCTGAAGACAAGCTGTTCCACTGGTTAATTGTCCTCACTGTTAGGAAGTTTCTCCTTAATTCCAGGTTGCTTCTCTCCTTGATTAGTTTTCATCCATTGTTTCTTGTCCTGCCCTCGAGAAAACAAGTTGATTCTCCTCTTCTTTGTGGCAGCCCCTCAAATATTGGAATACTGCTCACAATTCCTGCAACCGTTCTTCATATGTTTTTGTGTCCAGGCCTTTAATCATCTTAGTCGTCCTTCAATTGCTACCAACCCGCCTTCCATTGAGGACCTGTATACTGCACGAGTCAAAAAGAGGGCTGTGAAAATATTTACCAACCCCTCACATCCTGGACATAAACTGTTTCAACTCCTATCCTCAAAATGATGCCACAGAGCACTGCACACCAGAACAATTAGACACTAGAACAGTTTTTTTCCTGAGCGCCATCACTCTGCTAAACAAATAATTCCCTCAACACCGTCAAACTATTTACTAAGTCTTATTTATTTATTTATATTTAAATTTATATACCGCCCTTCTCCCGAAGGACTCAGGGCAGTGAACAGCCAAAGGTAAAAAACATAGAATACAAAAATTTAAGAGCAATTTAAAAACATATTAAACAATTTTGACCCAACAATTAAAATACCCCATTTAAAATTCGAATTAAAATTAGGCTGTTGGAGAAGTTAGGCCAGCCCGGCTTGTTGAAATAAAAAAGTCTTGAGGGTCCGGTGGAAAGTACATAAATCCGGAATCCTCTGTATCTCCAGGGGTAGCTCGTTCCCGAGGGCAGGTGCAGTCTGCACTACTATTAATCTTCCCATCATTCCCATCACCTATCTCCATGACCATTTTTCACACTTATGACCATTGCAGTCATATGATCAAAATTTGGATGCTTGAGAACTGGCATGTATTTATAATGAATGCAGTGTCCCAGGATCATGGGATTACCTTTTGTGACCTTCCTACAAGAAAAGTCAATGGGAAAACCAGATTTGTTTAACAACCATGTTACTAATTTTAGAACTGTAGTGATTCACTTAACAAATGAGGCAAGAAAAAAGGTTGTAAAAGGGTGCAAAACTCACTTAACAACTGTCTTGGCCTCAATTATGGTTGTCTATAGGACTACCTATAGTTTATTGCGAGGTTACCTTAACAGAATGCCTTTTACTTGACTGCTCCCTTGGTTGCATCTCCCTCTGAATCTTTGAAATTATTTCCCACATACCATCGCATTCCCCATTTACCATTCAGACAAGAACCTCCTATCTATGATTGTAAATAATGACCAATTCCTGCCTTATAAGTGCTCAAAGTGGCTGAGTACTGTATTTTTCGGAGTATAAGATGCTCCGGACTATAAGATGCACCTACCTTTTTTTGGTGAGGAAAACAAGAAAAAGAAATCTGCCTCTGCCTCCCAGCAATTTTGCCTCATTGCAGCAAACAGCAAATAGCCTGCTTTACTTTCATTTTCGTTTTCAGCATAGCTTGATTAGCACAAGAAAAAAAAATCTGCTCCCAGCAATTTACCTCCTTGCAGCAAGCAGCAGAGGCCCATGCAGCAATAGACAATGGCAATCCCTGCAGCCTGAAACAGCTGAGAGTTGGGAGGCCGATCAACTTGTGCTAATTAGGCTGTGCTGAAGCTGAAATGGGCTGTTTTTTCTTGCTGCTTGCTGCAAGGAGGTAAATTGCTGGGAGGCAGAGGCCAAAGGGTGGGGGCCAGTGGGTGGCCGGAGCTACATTTGGTGTATAAGATGCACCTAAATTTTCACTCTCTTTTAGGGGGCAAAAAGTGCGTCTTGTATTCTGAAAAATACAGTACTTGATTTGCAGATTGTTTCAGTTCTGATTCTGGAGCTGCCTATCTCCAAATCAGATCTGCCACTTGTTACTTGTTCTTTCTTGGAGCTAATATCCTAACTTTTAATTGTTCTCCATTGCAGAATCTGCTCTGTTTTTCTCATTTTATACCACCTCACACCTTTTGTCCCTACAAGGATGCAGCTCACTTGACCAATCAGTAGCAGTAAAGCTTCTTACCTTTTGCAAGATGCAGAAGATCCCTTCAGACTAGAAGGCTGAAATTCTTCTGCATGAGCGTTTTCAACGGTGGTTTATACAGAGAGAGAATGGCATCAAGTATCATGGGAAGTAGTGAAAGAATATAGGATTATAGGATGCTTGCTTTTTTATTTTCTTTTAGCCAAAGAAAATAGCAAGACTATTCAACAAATGCAGAAGAAGAAAACAATAGCTGCAAATCTGCACAAAACCATAAGGACTAGGGGTCTCTATATTCTGTGGGAAAGCAAGGGCTGTCCTAAAAAGCTGAGCCTTTGAGTGAGCTGCTTCAAATCTCAGCTCAGATCTGGGTCTTGTCAAAGTACACAGGTCTTCCACCTGCACAACGCACAACAATCAATCTTGATGAAGTGTTTTCACTGTATCTACAAGGAGGACAGTTGGAGCTCCCTCTGTGCTTGCAGGTGATGACCAAAAATGGGTTATGGCTACGCCGAAGCCCATTACCATAAGGCTGACCTCCAGAACCACATACTTTATCGATGTTTCTCTTGGTGCCATGAATGAAGGAATTTTTGTCCTTCAAGATTGGCCTGGTCATCCCCCGTCTTTGCATCATGGTGTCGCAGTAGCAGTTTCCAATGTTGCTCTTTGGATTATTGTAATGCTGCCTGAAGAAGGTCCCATAATTAGAAGAATAGGCGCCTGGTAACAGCACCAGAGCCAGAAAAAAGAAGCGGGCCAGTTCATATACTTTAAAGGGCATTCTCATGTTGACAGTTCGAAAGAGACACCTGAAAAAAGGAGAGAAGAGAGATCAATGTTTTGGTGGACTATCAAAGGCGCTACAAGTAGTCCTTGACTTACAACATTTAATTCATTTAGTGACCGTTCAAAGTTACAACGGCACTGAAAAAAGTTTAACAGATTAACAGAGTTGGAAGGGACTTTGGAGGTCTTCTAGTCCAACCCCCTGCTTAGGCAGGAAACCCTACACCACCATATATTAAACATAAAGCTATGTTTACTGTGCATGGTTCACAACCACTTAAGCCAATGTGGCATAGAGATAACTTGGTAGAGTAGGGTTGGGGATTAGGGATACTGAAGTTCAAGCTTTCATAGCCAAACCTCTGAGGATTAATGTACTGAGAATGTCTGTCTGTCTGTCTGTCTGTCTGTCTCTGCCTGCCTGCCTGCCTGCCTGCCTGCCTGCCTGCCTGTCATCTATCTAGATATGTCCTGGAAGAAAGCAATTGCAAACCAATTCTCTATTGGTTCCCATAAAACCATGTGAGTATGTCTGTGTAATTAATTGAATTCAGGCTCATGTTGGAGGGAAATGTACTTTTCCCTCCAACATGAGGGAAAAAGGAGAGAGAGGGATGGGAAGAAAGGAAAGAGGGGAGGAAGGAAGGGAGGGGAAATAAGACTAGGAGAGAGAGTTAGAAAGGGGGAAAGAGAGGAGGAGAGGGAGAAAGGAAGGGGAAGTAGAGAAGGAGTAGGAAAAGAGGGAAGAAGAAAGTAGAAAGGAAAGAAGGGAGGGAGAGATTGAGAAGAAAGACTGCTGTATAATAAAAAAGATAAAATAGAAGAAAGGCAACCCCGGACATGCATAAATGTACTAGGATAAAGAATGAGCTATTAAAAAATAAAAGAGAATAAATATGAGTTAAAACAGAAAAATTAGAATTTGAGGGCGAATTAAGATGTTGTTTATATAAATAAGCATAGAAATTTTAAGACATGATTAAAAAATGGAAAAAGGAAATTTTGGCAAACATTGTAACTGAGTAAAATGTACTTGAATATGTTAAATTGTATAAGTTATGATATGGCCAATACTGTTCATAAAATATGCGGGTGAAAATGGGGGGGGATCAATAAAACTTGATTCCCCCAAAAAATCTTCTCATTGTTCCCACCACCCATCTCCTTCCACTTATGACAGTATGACTGTAACTTTGTTGCTTGTATCCTTATGATTTATATTGATATTGTTTCCTGATTGCTTATTTGTACCCTATGACTATCATTAAGTGTTGAACCTTATGATTCTTGATGAACGTATCTTTTCTTTTATGTACACTGAGACTGTATGCACCAAGACAAATTCCTTGTGTGTCCAATAACACTTGGCCAATAAAAAAAAAATTCTATTCTATTCTATTCTATTCTATTCTATTCTATTCTATTCTATTCTATTCTATAGAAAATCCCAACCTCAAGTCAAAGTACTGAAACAATTTGCTTAGATCAATATCAAGTCATGAATAAAAAAAAGTTCCTTAGAAGTTAAAATGAGAAGACAATGAATGGAAATATTACAGATAGAATATGCCAAGGAAAATATTATTAGGGAAATATGTACTTGGTAAGGTTGAACAAAGACACCAAGCACTGAAGCTAGCAATACAACTGAATGTTATATAACAAAACCACAGATGCCACTTTAATAGCAGCAGTTTGACTGAAGGAGGAACACAATTCCATGAATCCATAGGATCCATATTAGCCTTGCAATGAAGATATCTGATATATAAAGAAGAGGTGTAGATGAGTGCCACTACCACTAGGAGGTGCTGTTCCTTAAGGAAATTCACATTTGTAAAGGTGGTGTTGGATATTTCCACTATTTTTTTAAATAGTAGAGACTATCTGAAATGTAGAAGCCAACATGCAATATTAAGAGATATTTAGCATCTCGATTGTCCTTCCTGTGGGGCAGAGGTGGGTTTCAGCATGTTCTGACCAGTTCTGGAGAACCGGTAGTGGAAATTTTGAGCAGTTCGGAGAACCGATAGTAAAAATTCTGACTGGCCCAGCCCCCATCTATTCTCTGCCTCCCAAGTCCCAGCTGATCGGGAGGAAATGGGGATTTTGCAGTAACCTTTCCCTGGAATGGGGTGGAAATGGAGATTTTACAGTATCCTTCCCCTGCCACGCCCATCAAGCCTAAGGTGACCAGATTTTAACATTGGTAAAGAGGGACATTGTGGGCGTGGCTTATTTTGTGGGCGTGGCTAGCTGGTCACGTGACTGGGTGGGCGTGGCTAGCTGGTCACATGACTGGGTGGGTGTGGCTAGCTGGTCATGTGACCGGGTGGCCATGGCTATGTGTATAGGGTAAGGTGAACAGATTTTAACATTGGTAAGAAGGACACCAGTCAAAAATAACTTTTTCAGCCTTCTAAGTAGTCCATATGCACAAAAGGACTAACCAGAGGGCTGAAAAAATCATTTCTGACAGGTCCTCGCACTTTTGACCGGTCCTCACACTTATGACCATCCTCACATTTATGCCCATGCAGCATCCTTAACAACCATGTCACTCATTTCACAACTGCTTCTCTTCACCATGGTGATAAGATAGAGCAAAAAACGTAAAATGTGAAGACAGTCGTAAGTTCGAGGACTGGTCAAAAGTGCGAGGACCAGTCAAAAATAACTTTTTCAGCCCTCTGAGTAGTCCATATGCATAAAAGGATACAGCAATAGAGAGGGATGAAGGAAGAGAAGGGAAATTAGAGTAGGAGTGAAGGTAAGAGGGGGAGGAAGAGAGGAGGAGAAGGAGAAAGGAAGAGGAAGTAGGGAGGAGAAGAAGAGGGGGGGAAGAGAAAGTAAGAAGGAAAGAAAAGAGAGAGGTGGTAGGTTTGAGGAGAAAGATTGCTGTACAATAAAAAAGATGAAAGGGAAGAAAGCCAATCCCAAACAAATATAAAGATATTAAGATAAAGAATGAATGGTTAAACTTTAAAGAATAAAAGAGAACAAATATGAATAAATAGCAGTAATTAGAAACACACATACAAACATACAATTTATTTTCTTTGAACAGAGTATTTGGCCGGTTCACAAATTTAAACAGTGTTTAGTCACTTCAATTAAATTTACAATTTCTATATTTCCTTTTTGCCATATTTATTCCTCATCTATTTTTTTTAAAAAAACCAATATTACCCTTCATCCTCATCTCTAATCTTAATCAAATTCAATTTTTCCCTTCTATTCTATATTATACCCCTTCCCATTGTCATCTATTTTTATATCCATCCTCACATTGTTTAATTATGTAATTATGTAATACAGTTGTTTAATACAAATTCAACATTTTAATATAAATCAATTAGTTATAAAACTATCTTTTTTGTATATTAATCAATATGAACATGAATATTCCTATTATTTCCATGCAATCCAATTTCTTACAAATCAATTAATTATATTTACCAATAATAATAAACCAAATAATTTCCCCCATATATTCCTCTGAACCACAACTTAACCATTTCTGCTTTCAACACAATATACAATTAATAGTATCTCAATTATTACAATTCCCTAGTTAAATACAGCTTTTTTTTCTTTTGTGTTTTAAATTCTTGAACTCTCCTCCTAAATTTTCCATTGTTTGCAGTTTTTCACCTACCTTTTTTGGGGAGGAAAAATAAAAATAAAAATAAATCTCTCTCTGCCTCATTTTGTCACGTTGCACCAAAGATTCTGGTTTCGGTTTCGTTTCTGCAGCTTAGCTAGGGGAAAAAAAAACTGCTTCAGGAACTCTTTACACTGATTGCCTGTAGGGCGGCCCTTTGAAGCCCCGGGCAAGAGTTTAATCAGTTTTTTTTTCTTCTAGCCATCAGCTGGGGCTCAAGAGGCAGCGGGACTGAGGAGGCAGAATGAAAAATCGGGAGTTTTTTGAAACGCCGCGGGACGCGGGACAAATTGCTAAAAATCGGGACTGTCCCGCCAAAAGCGGGACGTCTGGTCACCTTAATCAAGCCACACCCACAGAACTGGTAGTAAAATTTTTTGAAACCCACCTCTGCTGTGTAGCAGTATTTAAGTCTAAGTGCTATTGCTATTTGCTGTTTAACCTAATCTATTCTTCCTTCCTTCCTTCCTTCCTTCCTTCCTTCCTCCCCTCCCTCCTTCCTTCCTTCCCCTCCCTCCCTCCCTCCCTCCCCGTCCCCCTCCTCTTTTCTGTCTTCAAGCAAACTATGAATCATAGATTCCTCTCCTCCCTCCCCATATCCTGTGAAATAAGACAAGCTTGACAGAGAAATAGATTAATTTGTTAAAGAGTCAGTAGGAGGTAAGCATTTTCCCACGACTCCCTAAACAAACATTCGTATCTTCCCCAATACATCAAACTAAATAAAGTTCTACCACATTTTCCACATCCCCAAATAGGACATTGCTTATAACAGAGAAATAAAAATCCATTTTTAATTTGATCCTAGAGAAATGATTCAATATTTAATGTTCATCCTCGTATATTCAAGTATATTTGAGTTGGGGTAGCCATAAAAAGAGAAGTAGACTCAGTTGTGCCCCTGTAGCAACTTTTTGGCCAAATAAAGTCTAATACATTCAGATTCAATTAGATAACTTGCTTTTGTTCATGTAGAAAATCAGTTCCATGGACCTTAGAGAGAATTATACCATGGCTGAAAGTGGTAGAATCTAGAAGTTGGATTTAATTCTTGTTTTAGAACCACTGTTTCATTCTTTGCTCTTCCTCCTTTTTTTCCTTCTCTTTCCTGCTATCTGTTTACTGTTCTTCCTTCTTCCGTTCCAGAGTTAGTACAGGTAGTCCTTAACTTACGACAACAAATGAGCCCAAAAGTTGCTAAGTGAGACATTAGTTAAATGAGTTTGCCCCATTTTATGACCTTTCTTGCCACATTTGTTAAGTGAATCACTGCAGTTGTTAAGTTGGTAACACACGGTTGTTAAGTGAATCTGGCTTCCCCATTGACTTTGTTTGTC